CCCGCCCCCCCCGCAGCTCTTGTCCTGCGTGTTCGTGGAGCAGATGCAAAGCAGCTTCTGCTGGGTCATCCAGCTCTTCAGCCTCGTGTGCACCGTCAAGGGCTACTACGACCGTGAGTGGGGGCCAGGGGGCGCATGGGGGGACACACGCACACAGCTGTGCAGAGACACACGCAGTCCCTGCATGCTGCACGCGTGAGACATGTGTCACACAGCACATGCCGCCTGCACCTGTCACAGGGTACACACGATACATGCAGCACAACAGACTGCACACACGTGTCAGGGGCGTGTGCTATTCACGTGATGCTCACAGGCCGCACACAGCAGATGCCACAGCACAGGTCATGGGGCATGCATGTGGCACACGTGTGTGGTTCATCTGCAGCATGCACACAACCCCCTATGTGCACACGGCACACACACATGCACAGCACACTGCATGCATGGTGTCATGTGCACAGCCATGTGCCTGAGTCCTGGCTCCTGTGCTGCAGCTAAGGCGATGGCCAGCAAGGACCAGGACTGCCTGCTGCCCGTGGAGGAGGCGGGCATCATGTGGGATGGCGTCTGCTTCCTCTTCCTGCTGCTGCAGCGGCGCGTCTTCCTCAGCAGCTACTTTCTGCACGTGGCCGCCAACCTCCAGGCCACCGCCCTGCAGGCCTCCAGGTGCACCCGGCCCCCTGACCTTCCATGCCGCTGGGCCCCACCAGCAGTTGGGGGTGGGGAGGTGGGGCGCAGCCTCTCAGAGCCCACAGTGAGGCCTTTGCCTAGGCCTCCCACCTTCTACCCTCAGGAGCCCCCACAGCGACTGGCCGCCTGCCTGCTGTCCTGCCCCAGATGGGGCATGGCGAGGGAGAGTGTGGCTGCTCACACTGTGCTGGGGGAGGGGTGTGTCAGATGGTCAAGTGACCCCTGGGCTCAGGAGAGAGGGGTGTGAGCCTACCCAGAACACACGGGGCCTCAGGTGACCCCAGGTTGGGGGCTGAGGGGGTCCCATGGGATGGAAATTAGGAGTTTGGGGGGCCTTGAGGTGGGCAGTATAGCTGGATGAAGCCCCCCATTCTGATGCCTGCCCCCACACAGGGGCTTCGCCCTGTACCATGCGGCCAGCCTCAAGAGCATTGCCACCCACCGCAGGGCGGAGGAGAAGTCCCTGGCCCAGCTGAAACGACAGTAGGTACCCGGCCCACTCCCCTGTGTGTGCTGCTGCGAGCAGGGCCCCTCACTCAGTCTCCACTCCCGCCCCTCAGGATGGAGCGTATCCGTGCCAAGCAGGAGAAGCACCGGCAGGGCCGAGTGGGCCCTGAGGACCTGGGGGACCCAGGTGAGGGCCAGGAGCACCCGACCTGTGCACGACGTCCAGCTTCCGGCTTGTCTGCTGTAGCCGGCGTCACCACGTGGCCACCCATTGCCCGGGGCACTGCGTCTGCATGTCCACGTCTGCCTAGGAACTCTGTCTGTCCCCATCTGCTCCCACCACACTGCTTACTACCCATTCATGCCTGCCTGTTCTGCCCCTCCACAGGGCCCGGCAGTCCAGGGGGCATCTCTCCGCCACGGAGACAGTGGTGGCGGCCCTGGCTGGACCATGCCACAGGTACACGCCCCTGGCCTGCCTGACCAGCGCCCCTGCCCCCAGCATTCTCAGCCACACCTCTCTGAACTCCCAGCCCCTTCAATGAGGCCCCCCTGTGCATGTGCTCACAAGCTGGGACGCCCCGCCGGCCAGACCCCATCGACTTGTGGGACGGGCCAAGTCACCTGCCCACCGCCCCTTCCCTGCTCTCAGCGCTGCCCTCCTTGTCCGGTGTCTTGTCCATGCTGTGTCCTGTCCCTGAAGTCCCTGAGAGGCCTTGGGTGTGCTGGACTGAGGCCCAGGGGTGGGGGGTGGGGGTGGAGGGGGAAGCCTGCTGTGTGGGCGCTTGGTGGGCAGGGGGAAAACTGAGAGTGGTCCTCACCCTCTCCGCCCTACAGTGATCCACTCGGGGGATTACTTCCTGTTCGAGTCAGACAGTGAGGAGGAGGAGGAGGAGGCCCAGTCCGAGGAGGCCCGGCCGTCAGCACAGAGTGCCTTCCAGGTGAGGGAGCCTACAGCCCTGCCCTCCTCTCCCTGCACAGGCTGCCCGGGCAGGTCTCAGTCGTGGACTTGCACTGGGCACCTTGGCTGAGGCAGGTGGCAGTCTAGGGGTCCATTGCCCTTAATCCTGCCCTGCCCTCAGATGGCATACCAGGCATGGGTGACCAATGCCCAGACTGTCCTGCGGCAGCGGCAACAGGAGCAGACACAGGCACAGGCACGGCAGGTGCCCAGGGGTGAGTCCGTGTGGCCAGCCTGGTGGCCGCGGAGGTGGGGGTGGGGGTGGGGTTGTTGCCATGGTCTCCAGGCCTGACCACGCACTGTGCCCAGGAGGTAGCCCCAGCCAGGAGGTGGAGCAAGCTGAGGGCCTGGAGGACGAGGCCGCAGGTGTGTGAGCAGTGGACTCCAGGGTGGGGGTGGGCTGGGGGGAAGTAGACGCAGAGTCAGCCCCTCCTCCCCGGCCCCCCAGGCCGCAGCCACGTGATGCAGCGGGTGGTGAGCACGGTGCAGTTCCTGTGGGTGCTGGGCCAGGCTCTGGTGGACGGGCTGACGCGCTGGCTACAGGACTTCACTCGGCACCACCGTACCATGAGTGACGTGCTGCGGGCTGAATGCTACATCCTCACGCAGGAGCTGCTGCGGGTGAGCACCCACCCATTCCACCAACCTAGCACACGCCCTCCCCTCCCTGTCCTCCCCTCCCCTCATGACACCCTCCTGTGGCCGTGGCCGCAGGGCGGAGAGGTGCACCGGGGAGTCCTGGACCAGCTGTACACCAGTGAGGAGGAAGAGGAGGAGGAGGAGGAGCTGCCCAGCCCCACTGGCCCCAGCACAGCATCAAGGCAGGTGCATAGAGGCTGCAGGAGGAAAGCCTGCCCCGGGGACTCTGACCCTGGAACCTGCATCTCTCCCTCCTGGGAGCTCCTGCCAGCCTCACAGACGGTCCCCAACCCTGGGCCCATGTGACCCCTCCCCCTCCCCTCTTGTCCACAGTGGACTCGGGGCTGAGGAGCCACTGAGCAGCGCCCCTGAGGACACCAGCAGCCCCCTGACCACAGGCTACAGCAGCCGCTGCAGCAGCCAGGAGGGAGTGGCCGCCCCTGCCAGCCCTGAGGTCCCGCCCTCCCGCTGGGGCTCTCGGGAGCTTCTGGCCGGCAGGCGTTCTCGGAGGCGCACAGCCAGCGAGCTGCTGTTCAACAGGTGGGGACGGGGCTCGGGGCTAAGCCCTGCGCGCCACACACCCGGGGGACCGAGCCTGGTGGTGTAGCCAGCCCTTGTGGTCCACGCCCCCCATCCCCCTGCCTCCCTTGTGGCCTGCCCTCCACTGCCCAGCGTCACTGCCTGCACCCCCAGTCTCCCAGCCCCTGTGGCCCGCCCATGCCACTGTGGGACTCCCCCAGTGTGGCCCAGCCGCCACATTGCCTGCCACCCACCCTGCAGGCGACTGCGCATCCCGGAGCTGGAGGAGGCGGAGCGGTTCGCGGCGGGGCGCGGCCGGGCGCTGCGGCTGCTGCTGGCCGGGTACGAGTGCGTGGCCGCCCACTCGGAGCTGCTCTGCTACTTCGTCATCGTCCTCAACCACATGGTCACCGCCTCGGCCGCCTCCCTGGTGTTGCCCGTGCTGGTCTTCCTGTGGGCCATGCTGTCCATCCCCAGGCCCAGCAAGCGCTTCTGGATGACCGCCATCGTCTTCACCGAGGTGGGCAGGCGCCTCGGGCTGAGGCGGGGTCTGCAGGAGTGGGGGGCGGGGCTGCCTTCTGAGCGCCCCAATCTCCCGCGCAGGTCACTGTGGTCACCAAGTACCTCTTCCAGTTCGGCTTCTTCCCCTGGAACAGCTACGCGGTGCTGCGGCGGCACGAGAACAAGCCCTACTTCCCGCCGCGCATCCTGGGCCTGGAGAAGAGCGACGGCTTCCTGCACTACGACCTGGTGCAGCTCGTGGCGCTCTTCTTCCACCGCTCGCAGCTGCTGGTGCGTGCACACGCGCGAGTGCCCGCCAAGTGTTGGGGAACGACAGGGGTGCCTACCTCACCTCCACTACACCTCCAGCAGCCCACCATTCCCAGCTGCTGGTGCGTGCGTGCGTGCGTGTGCGCGCGCATGTGTGTGCGCCCCCGTGCCCACCGAGTGTGGCCGGGCAGCAGCCGGCCAGGTGGGGTGGGCCCTCCTCACCTCCACTACACCTGTTGCACCCAGTGGTGCTCTCTTCTTCCACTGATCCCAGCTGCTGGTCCTTGGGCAGGCCCAGCTGGTCTGTGGGGGGGTGGCAGGGCAGGCTCCCCTCACCCGCCCCTCCTGCTCTGGCAGTGCTACGGCCTCTGGGACCACGAGGAGGACTCGCTGCCCAAGGAGCCGGACCCCAGCGGAGAGAAGGAGACAGCTGCTGGGGAGGAGCCGCCTGCCCAGTTAGAGCCAGAGCTGGCAGGAGCCCCTCTGGAGGATGATGCCCAGCTTGAAGCCAGGGCTCCATCTGAAGAGGGGGCCCCGGAGCCCGAGGTGCAGCTCAAGACCCCCAGCCTGAGGCACATCAGTCTACGCTTCCGGAGAAAGTGGGGGCGCCCAGCTGGCAGCCCCGTCCCCCCAGCCCATCGTAAGTCAGGGTCTACCTCCCTGACTGCCCTCCACCCCAGCCTGGGGCCTGTCCTCCCTGGCCCACTACAAATCCTGGTCCGCCCTTACTGTGTGCTGTCAGCCTGCACCCCGTCTCTAGGAGGCAGACAAGGCAGGGGCCCATTGCACAGCTGAGGCACCAAGGCCAGGCCCTCTCGGGAGCCTGGGCTGCCGAGGACAGTGGCACTGTGGCTGGTGCCCTAGTCTGAGGGGCTGCGGGGGGCTGGCCCTGAGCTCCGTCAGTGAGAGCCACTTCCCATAGGAGCTGAGGCTGCAGACCAGGAGGAGGAAGCTGAAGCCAAGATCCCTGAGAGAGCCAAGCGGCCGAACCCATCACGGGAGAGGGTGAAGGCGGCCGGGCTGCGGCTGCAGGGCTTCTGCGTGTCCCTGTGAGTGACACTGCCCAGAGGCGGCCTAGTGTGGGGGTGGCGGAGGGGGCCTGGGCTGGACGGCCAGAGGCGGAGGGGGCCTGAGCTGGACGGCCACCTGCAGGGCCCAGAGTGTGTTCCAGCCCCTGCGCCGCTTCTTCCACGACATCCTGCACACCAAGTACCGCGCAGCCACCGACGTGTACGTGCTCATGTTCCTGGCCGACGTCGTGGACTTCATCATCATCATCTTCGGCTTCTGGGCCTTTGGGGTGAGTGGAACCCCTGGGTCGCTGCAGGCTAGAAGGGACACACTGCCAGTCCCCGCGAATGACCTGCATGCTCTCCCTCGGTCTGCAGAAGCACTCAGCGGCCACGGACATCACGTCCTCGCTGTCAGATGACCAGGTACCCGAGGCCTTCCTGGTGATGCTGCTGATCCAGTTCAGCACCATGGTAGTGGACCGTGCCCTCTACCTGCGCAAGACCGTGTTGGGCAAGCTGGCCTTCCAGGTGGTGCTGGTGCTGGCCATCCACCTGTGGATGTTCTTCATCTTGCCCGCTGTCACAGAGAGGTATGGGGCGCCGGGGCAGGGAGGGCCGGCAGGGAGGCGACGCCCTGAGTGGCCCACCTCCCTGCAGGATGTTCAGCCAGAACGCAGTGGCTCAGCTGTGGTACTTCGTGAAGTGCGTGTACTTCGCGCTGTCTGCCTACCAGATCCGCTGCGGCTACCCCACCCGCATCCTGGGCAATTTCCTCACCAAGAAGTACAACCACCTCAACCTCTTCCTCTTCCAGGGGTGAGTGGGGGCTGGGCTGTGGGGGGCCAGAGCCCTGGGTACCCCCTTGCCTCCCCAAGCCTTGCCTGACTGGGGCCTGTGCTGGGCCAGGTTCCGGCTGGTACCCTTCCTGGTGGAGCTGCGGGCGGTGATGGACTGGGTGTGGACAGACACCACGCTGTCCCTGTCTAACTGGATGTGCGTGGAGGACATCTATGCCAACATCTTCATCATCAAGTGCAGCCGAGAGACCGAGAAGGTAAGGCGGCCAGCGCCATCCAGGCCTCCTGCAGGCTCTCAGCAGCCCTCCCAGAGCTAGACAGACACAGCGGGCCTCAGGTGGCTCTCCCAGGACCTGTGCTCAAGGCAGGGGTGCTTGGCCAAGGTCGTTCGTTTGTGACAATTGAGAACTCGGACACCACATGGCTCAACTGGGTAAAGCTCAGTGGCTCTTCATGCTGTCCCAGCACTAACACCTGTCCCCAAACACCCTGCCCCTCTGTCGTCAGCCCTCCCGCTCCCACCACCAAGTGTCCGGTCTGTGTGGACCTGTCTGCACTTCTCTGCACGCCTCGTGTGAGTGGAGTCACCGGCCCGGCCCCGGTGACCGGCTCCTTTTGTGTAGTGTGCATTCAGGGCTCACCTGTGCTGCCTTAGGTGCTCAGACTTTCACCTGCTCTCGGACTGACTGGAGGCTGGGCCCTGCTTTCTTTAGCCGGTCACCAGCCACTGGGTATCTGGGCGGCCTCTGTCTTGACTCCGAGGTCTCATGCTGCTTTGAACAATGGCCTATGTTTCTGCATGGACATGTGTCTCCTCTGGGGTAGACAACAAGCTTCCGTCTGCTTTCTGCACACAGTGGGTCTGCAGGTGCTGGCGTGGGGGTATCTGTGCCCGATCTCCTCTGGCTTCCCCAGTGCCACAAGGCAGGCAGCAGGCAGGTCTCCAGCTCCCATCCTTTGTTACCCTCTGACCCCAGCTGTTCCTCCTACGCCGCTCGGCTCTATGCTGCGGCCAATCCTTTGTTGGCCACGCAGAACTTCAGACAAACTCAACACGAAGGGGGATTATTAGGGGAGCTAACGGGTCATGATCAGCAGACAGTGAGAACACAGTCATTTGTCCCTCGCAATACCCCTCCTCTGCCCGCAGCCAAGGCTCTTTGGATCCTCAGCCTCTCAGCCGCGTGGGCCCTTGGCCTTTGCCTCCATGGGCCAGGAAGCCAGGCACTGCTTGTCGCTCTGTCCACAGTTGCGTAGCCTCAGCACCACTCCTCAGGGTCTCTGGCCACGGTGTCTGATGCGTCTGGTCTGGGCAGCCTCTGCCACTCCTGACAGTTCTTGGACAAGGTGCTTTTCCGAAGGCCCGAGGAGTCTGTGTGTCCTGGCGGCTCTTACACACCAAGGAAAGGCTTTGATCGCGGAGTGGCTTATCTGTCAGCCAATCATACCAAGGAAAATGAAGGATAATATCGTACACAGCCTCTAGTAGTCTTAAAGATGCCTCCCAGGAAACAAGGTTGTGTGGCTTGGTTCACACCCTCTACTTAGGTCAGGACTTAATCCTGTAAACCACTAGCCTTCCCACGGGGGAAAGATGAGGCTTTCTACTCCCATCAGGAGGTATGGGCTTAGAAACTCATGGGGGTTCTGAGTCAGACGACTCGATGGCAGTGATTTGGTTAATCGTGTAGCCGAGATTGCCCTCCAAAATGGGGTCACGGCCACTGGTGTGGAGTCCAGGTGTAACCATCATTGACACATAGCAGTTATGACCTGAAAGGGCACATTAATTGGCTTCATCTCAGGTTCAAATCCACCAGCTGTTCCACAGGAGGAAGGCAGTGCAGTCTGCTTCCATGACAAGTGCAGCATCACTATGGGTTAGGGCCAACTTGTGGCAGGGGCTTGTCTCATGTTCTGAGGCATGCTCAGACTGTTTCCGCAGGGGCCAAACATTCATACATTCCCCCAGCAATGGGGGTGGCGGGACGAGAATGCCAACACTTCCACCTGCTCACCAACAGTTACTATCATTGTCACTGTGTTGGAAGCGGTGGAATGGACTCTCCCCATGATGCCTAGCCAGGCTGAGGATCATTTCAGGTGCCTGTTGGCCCTTTGGGGGTCTTCCATGGAGACAAGTCCGGCTGGGTTTTATTACCCATTCTTTAAACTGGGTTGTCTACTTCTCAACAAGGCATGAGTTCTGGATACTAGGATCTTAGCTGATGTCTGACTTCACAGAACACATCTCCTGTCTATGGAGTAGCTCGTCACTTGATTAATGGTGTCTGCTGAAGTGCAAGTTTTTAATTTGAGGCTACCCCATGTATCTCTTCTTCCCCTGTGGTTGCCTGTGTCTTGGAGGGTCTGTCTTAAAAAAAAAAAACACCTTTGCCTCACCCAAGGTCATGGAGATTTGCCCCTGTTGCCTTCTAAGAGTTTTATAGTTTCAGCTCTCTCGGGTGGCTCACCGTGCGAGGTAGGGGGTCTGGTAGCTTCTCTTCTGCACGTGGAGATCTGCAGTCTCGGCGCCATCTGGTGGCGAGGAAGCTCCTTCCCTCACTGAATGGTCTTGCAGCCTTGTTCAATGATGGGCCCCAGGTGTGCCGGGCCCCTCTTGGATTTTCCTCTGTCACCCTTGCACGAGTGCACGCCATGCCGTTGTGAACACGATTACTCTGACGTGAGTTCCGACTGCAGGCTAAGGCTTGAGATGTGGGGCCATCGGCTGAGCCAGAGCCCTGGACAGTGAGGGTCTGGGAGTGACAGGGAGGTTGGCCACCGGCACTGGTGTGGCCAGGGAGGAGGCTGAGCTGAGCTGGCCCCGCCTCCGCCCTCCTCCCCTCCTCTCAGAAGTACCCGCAGCCCAAGGGGCAGAAGAAGAAGAAGATCGTCAAGTACGGCATGGGCGGCCTCATCATCCTCTTCCTCATCGCCATCATTTGGTTCCCGCTGCTCTTCATGTCCCTGGTGCGCTCCGTGGTGGGCGTGGTCAACCAGCCCATCGACGTCACCGTCACCCTCAAGCTGGGCGGCTACGAGGTGAGAGAGGGCTGGGCCCTGGCCACGGTGGGCGTGGGAGGGGGTGGGGCGGAGGCGTGCTAGCATCCGCTCACTTCGCTGCCCCTGCGCGCAGCCCCTGTTCACCATGAGCGCCCAGCAGCCGTCCATCACGCCCTTCACCGCCCAGGCCTACGAGGAGCTATCCAGGCAGTTTGACCCCAACCCTGTGAGCGCCCACCCAGGCTGGGGGTGGGGCGGAGAAGCCTGCCCACTCCCTTAGGCCGGGACCAGAGCTGAGGCATGTCCATCCCCGCCTGCAGCTGGCCATGCAGTTCATCAGCCAGTACAGCCCCGAGGACATCGTCACGGCCCAGATCGAGGGCAGCTCTGGGGCGCTGTGGCGCATCAGCCCGCCCAGCCGCACGCAGATGAAGCGGGAGCTCTACAATGGCACGGCAGACATCACCTTGCGCCTCACCTGGAACTTCCAGAGGTAGCGCTCGTGCAGGGCAGGGCGGGGCTCAGCCTGGCCTGGAGGGGTGGGCCCAGATCAGGGGCGGGGCTCAGCCTCCTACTGAAGGGCCAAGAATGATCTGGGATGGGGCTCACCCTTTCCCTGGAGGAGCAGGGCTTGACTGGGGCTAACCTTCTCCCTAGTTGGGTGGAGGGCCCATGGGTAAGACTGGCCAGGCTGGGGGCGAGGCTCACCTTGCGGCTGGCCCCCAGGGACCTGGCCAAGGGCGGCACGGTGGAGTACACCAACGAGAAGCACACCCTGGACCTGGCTCCCAATAGCACAGCGCGGCGGAAGCTGGCCAGCCTGCTGGAGGGCACCGTGGAACAGTCTGTGTGAGTGGGCGCTGTCTCCCCAGTTGGCGGGCCGGGGCACGGGGGCAGGGCTTGAGCCAACTGCTTCCTCCCACAGGGTCATCCCCAACCTTTTTCCCAAATACATTCGCGCCCCCAACGGGCCTGAAGCCAACCCGGTGAAGCAGCTACAGCCCAGTGAGTGGGGGTCGTGGAGGGACAGGGGTGGAAGGGTGGCCTGAAGGCGAGGCGAGGCAAGCCAGGGCTGACCACGCCCACCCATAGATGAGGAGGCTGACTTCCTGGACGTGCGCATCCAGCTGCGCAGGGAGCGCGTGGGTGCAGGGTCCGACGGCTTCCTCGAGTGGTGGGTCGTGCAGCTGCAGGACTGCCAGGCCGACTGCAACCTGCTGCCCATGGTCATCTTCAGCGACAAGGTCAGCCCGCCCAGCCTCGGCTTCCTGGCGGGCTATGGGATCATGGGCCTATACATGTCCATCGTGCTGGTCATCGGCAAGTTCGTGCGCGGCTTCTTCAGTGAGATCTCGCACTCCATCATGTTCGAGGAGCTGCCGTGCGTGGACCGCATCCTCAAGCTCTGCCAGGACATCTTCCTGGTGCGGGAGACCGGCGAGCTGGAGCTGGAGGAGGAGCTGTACGCCAAGCTCATCTTCCTGTACCGCTCGCCCGAGACCATGATCAAGTGGACCCGCGAGCGTGACTAGGCGCCCCTGCCGCCGCCCGGACAGTGAAGGTGCGCTGCACCGCACCAAGGGACCCGGGGAGGGGGCTCCAGGGCCCCACGCCCTGCTGCTGCTGCTGCTGCTGCCACAGAAGGGAGGTCCACACCCACGCCCTTCCCCATGCGTACTGTAGGTTTTTTAATTAAAACATCTTTATTTATACAAATGAGGGGCCCACACTTCGGGGCTGCTCTGGTCGCTGCCTGGCGTGAGCTGGGTGTGGCAGCCAGGCACTTGGGGAGGGTGCTGGGCCAGCAAAATCCTGGGCATCTCCACCCCGGACACAGTGACCGTTGAGGGACTTGGTCCAGGACTCAGCTCAGGCCCGTCTCCAGCTCCTCCTCACTGTCCTCAATCAGAAACTCCTGGATCTCCTGGGTGACCTGGGCCCTGTAGGATTTCCGGCTGGGGTAAGGCTGAGCTAGAGGCCACTGCCCAGGGGCCTTGAGTTTTCCCAGCTGGGGTGAGGCCAAGCTAGAAGCCCCCACCAGCCCTGTGGAACATGCCATGTACCTGTGGCTGCGGAGCTGAGCCTCAGACAGGATATAGGGTGGGAGGGGGTCCAGAGAGGACTGCAACCAAAGAGCCAAGTGGCTAGGTGAGGGCGTGCAGAGCTGGGTTCTGGCCAAGGAGCTGCCCGTCACTATGGGGGACACTCACCAGGTCCTTCATGTTCACACGGCAGCCGTAACACAGCTGCTCCAGGACATGGGGTCGGGGCCCCTCCCTAGGGAGGGAAGACAGGTGTGCCCTGTGCTCGGCCATCAGTGAGCTGGGTGTGCGGGGGCAACACGGTGGGGACGGGCAGTGGGGTGGGGAGGGATGTACCTCTGGCTGGGTCCAGTCTCCCTGCAGCAGCTCTGGTCTCTGCCAAGTGCTGGTGGGCCACCGGGTGCTGTGGGCATCTCAGCCTGTGGGTTGGGGGGCTGCCTCTGAGGCAGGACTAGGGTGGCCTGGGCCCCAAAAGCAGTGGCACTGTCTGTAAGCAGAGACAGGCCTTGAGTAGGGAGTGGGGGAAGGGGACGGCTAGGGCTATTGGACTGAGACTGGGGCCTGCCTGTCCCCCTGCCTGTGTAAGGCTCCCAGGGGACCAGGGGCAGACCCGCGTCCACCCCCAGGCCAAGTGCAGACCCGCACAGTCGACGTCCAGTGTGCACAGGCACAGGAGACAGTGGGGGCTGGAGTGGCTGGGGGCCTGGCCGGCTCGGGGGGCCTTGACTAGCTTCTCACTTGTCCTGCAGCCAGAGAGAGAGGTGAGGTGACCATCGGTGAGGACCACACCCAGCAGGTGCCCACCCCCAGTCTGCCCCACGGACCTGTACACAGTGCTGACGGTGGAGGGGAACTGGGCCTGCAGCTGCAGCACAAAGGCCTCCATCAGTCGGTGGATACTGGCTTTCTCAGGGGCCTGCAGAGCGCAGAGACCCCGTGGGAGGGCAGCCCTATGTGAAGGGTGGGGCCCAGGCTAAAGGGAGCAGTGTCCCTGACAGGTCCCCTCTCTACACAGCACCAACCAGTGCCCCCAAACATACCTTGGTGCTGATGGTTGGCGTGAGTACGGTGGGGACCGTGAACAGGCGGTTGTAGAAGGCCACCTCCTTCAGGGTGTGCTCCCGCATGGGCCGGACCACCACCACATCACCGTGCCGCTCGTCCGAGAAGCCCTGGGGGACAAGCTCCTGATGACACCCTGCCGGCGGCCGGGCCCCTCATCCCCCTAGCCACCCCTCCCCCCGCATCTGCAGTTGGGAACCAGACTCCACAGGGTGGAGGGAAAGGGGGACCAAGCAGCAGCCTGATCCTGCTCACCGTGTCCCAGGCCAAGAAAGCCCCTCGGCCCAGTGCCAGGTTGGTCAGGAGCTTGATGGCCAGGCGAGTGCAGCTGTCCCCCATCATCACCTTGGAGTAGCCGTGGGTCCGGGCCACATGCAGGAGCAGATGGGTCCTGGGGGCCAGAGCATGCAGGGCTTCAGTGCGGGCAGGACCCTGAGGGACAGGAGCCAGGGGCCAGGGCCTGGTGGGCAAAGCTCACCGCAGGGTCTGCAGAAGCTCCTCCTTGGCGGTCAGTGTCCTCACGGAGCTGAAGAGTCTGACCAGAGCTTCAGTCTGGGCAGCTGGGGGTGGCCTGACTGGGCCCTGGGGGCTGGGTTGGCCCTCCCTCAAGACCGGGCTGGGGCTGTCACTGGCACCCTGTGTCCCCAGTACTTGCTGCCGTTGGATGAAACCATTCACAGCCTCCTTGTAGGCCCCATCCCCTGCAGCTGGCTCCTGGGAAAGGTGCCTCAGCACGGATGGGGGCAGGCCAAACACCTTCCACCCAAAGGGAGTGTCAGAGACCAGAGGAAACAGCCAGGCTCACCCTCCCTCCTCCCCTGACGCCTGCGTACCTCCTCCAGGGCAACACTGTGCCAAGGCAGGCCGGCAGAGTGCAGGGTGGCCTGCACCTCAGCCAGGGTCTCTGCGCGGTCCTCAGGGCTCCGGCCACAGGCTGCTCCCTCTGCCGGCAAGCAGGAGATCAGGGAGGATCAGGAGAGCATAGCTTCCTAGCCAGCTTCTCCTAGGTCCCCGAGCTCCCCCACCACAGGAGGACCCCTGGGGTCAACCCCCCCACCCCAGAGCACAGAGTTATGAAAGTCTTGGGGGGAACATCTACACACTTGGCAATCGGTTTCTACCATGGCCCAGGGAGAGGCACATCACTGGCCAGGGTCCCCCACTCCTCTGGGACAACAGAGAGTCCAAGGTGGCAGTGCTGCCTGTCCACTCAGCAAGAATTCCCAGGCCAGTACAGAGGCCATGCCCACAGGAACACTGTCCAACGGAGGGCAGGTCTGCTGCGGAAGCAGCCAGCATGGGGAGAGCCTGGGCCATGCCTACCTTCCACATAGACCACTCCAGGCAGGAAACGGAGTTGCTTGGCTGAATTTCGACTCAGTCCCTGGGGGGAGAGGTGGCCAGGGGCTCAGCTGGACTGGAGTCCATGGCTTAGTGTCTCTGGGCTGTCTCCGGAGCCACATGGCATGCACCCCCTAACCAGCCTGCCTGGCCTCAGTCAGCGTTGAGAGCAGGTGCAGGGGATCGTGAAGCCTTGCCTGGCCCACAAAGCCACTCAGTCAGGGTTGGCTGCTGGACACCCAAGACGAAGAACAAACTCGCTGCCATCAAGTTGATGCCAACTCACAAGGACCGCACAGGACAGGGCAGAAATGCCCTTGTTGTTTCTCGAGACTGTAAATCTTTACAGGGGTAGAAAGCCCCCTTTTTCCCATGGAGTGCCTAGTGGCTTTGAACTGCTAACCTTGCCGGATCTTAGCTCAATGCATAACCACTATGCCAGCAGAGCTCCCGGGGCACCCAAACTCGCCTGCAAGCGTCTACCTGCCTTATCTACCGTCTGGGACCCAAAGGGAAGGTGTCTTCAAGAGCAGCCTGGGCCTCATACCTAGAGTGTACACAGGGAGTGAGTGACAGGGCTGCACTGAGCAGGGGGATCCCTAGAAGGCTCCTCTTTACTCTCCTGACACCCCACCCCTGGCAGCTTCTGCGCTGGAACCCAACTCCATACAGCCCAGCCAGGAGGGCAGGGCAGGTGCACGTACCTCCAGGACTTGCCAGAGCATGGAGCTGGACGAGGGCCCACCCGACCAGGCCAAGAGGACCTGAGGGGAGAGGAACACAGTGTCTCCCAGGAGCACAGGGCACACAGATGGGGCAAGCTGGCCACTTGCGGAGCCAAAGCCCTGTGGGGCTGACACTGGGAGCCACCGCTCACTCCCCTAGAAAAGGGGGTGCCCCCAGTCACGGGCTCACCTTCTCTCCCGGGAAGATGAGCCTGTTCTTCCCAAGTACAGCTCTGAACTTGTGGACGTAGTAGGCCTTGAAGCAGTCCCTGCAACGCAGACCCCGCCGGCTGTGTCCAAAGACCAGGCAGGCAACAGCCATCACCCACCCCCTCCAGGCACCAAGACAAAAAGGTTTCCCATCTGGCCAGCAGGGTGGGCATCTCATCACTCCCTCCTCAGCAGGATCTCTTTAAAAAGCCAGGTAGGAACCCCGTTTGCTGACCCCGTGGCAGCAGGGGTCAACTGTGCACAGGCCAACTCTCCACAGCTCCGAGCCCCTGGGCTGCACCAGACATGGACAGCCCTGCAGTCAGCAAGCCACCAGGCATTAATTAAAGGGTCAAGATGGGAGGGGGATCTTCCTGTTCTTAGTAACCCTGGACCAAGTGGAAATGACCAGATGAAGTAAGAGATGACACACGGCCGCCAGAGACAAAGGCCTCTGGGGACAGGTCTCTGGAAGTCTAGAGCTCCCTCCCTCACAGAGAAGAGGAAGGCATCTAGCTAAAGGCATCAGGGAGTTTAGTGACTGTACTCAAGATCTGCCTCTCTGTGCTCAAAGGTCCGTCTCCACTTTCAACTCTTCCCCAAAGCTCCATGCAACACCCTCCAGTCACCTAGTCCAGGACTACACTGGGAGACATAAGCCAAGCAGGAGCCATGTGTCCCTAGTGCTCTGTGACCCCGGGATCAGCAGGGCTAGCATGGGACTCAGAAATCCCCGAAAGTGTTGGGAAAGCAGGCACAGGTGGCCAGCCTCACCTGCAGAAGGCATCACCTGCCCGGATCACCACCACTGGTTCTGCCTCCTTGCACTTTACACATTTCCGCTGCCCGCGAGGGAGCCTGAAGGGGACAGAAGGGAGCACACTCTGGTTGGTTTCCAGGAGACAGGGTCTTCCACACCTTATCCACACAGCTGGATTAGGGGGAAAGTACTGTGTGTTTTGGGAGTGGGGGGTGAGGGGGCCGGGAAGCCAGACCGAAGGACTTGTCCAAGGCACCAACCTAAAGACCAAAGGGCCGGGGAGCTGTTTGGCTCGGAAAGGCAGGCTCAGGGGCACATAGGCCTCTCTGGGGTCTTTCACGGAAGAGCGAGAACGCCCTCTGCTGGCCCTGGAGGGTCGGAGTGGAAAAGACGGGTAGAAACAGCCTTTTCCCCGGGGAAGCAGCTGAGAGACCGCCGGGCTGTCCCTCGGCCTCGGAGCGCTGGCGAGTGGACGAGCCTGACAGCCCTTCCCGGCGCAGCAGGGCGGATGCCAGTCTCCACCCCCGGTGCGGGGCAGCCTGTGGGTCCCTTCCGCGCGCGAAGGCCAGAGGGGACAGGCCGCCAGCTCTTACCCGGGCAGCGGCCCCAGGGGCGCCGGCTCGCGGTAGTCCTCGCCCACCTGGC